ATACTCTTTTTGTCAAATTTTTATTGTTTTAAAATAATTTTTTGTACCACTGAATTTATCATTGCTTAGTTAATCTTAAGTTATTTTAACCCTGCCATAATGTCTGCATACAAGGGGCTTCAGCATGTTGCATTTTAAAAAAAATTGTTTCCTTGTATTTCTCTTATTATGTTCAAATAAAAAATAAATAAATAAAGGGGTTGTTGTTGTTTTTAACAGCCGGTTTTGGTCTGGACAAAGGACAGCAAAAGATATAGCAGTTACAAAAGTACAACATTGTGTCTTCAGTATTTGGACAATGTCTCTTTAAAGGGAGATTTTTCAATCAGAGCCTTCGAGGGAGGCCCCCTTTGATTGGTGAAGGGGCTCTTGATTAAGAGAAATTTAGCTGGCCTTTTTCCTTGGGTCAAATCTATTAAAATCTTTATAAAAAACCTCCGGGGGGGTTTTTTAGCGCTCCCTCAATATTGTCATTGAAAAACGCCCAAAAAACCTGTGATTGAAACCTTATATAAAAATTATTTCTTGTTCTGCTTGTCTTTGCCTACCATAATTTTTTAAATTATTAAAGGGGGCCTAAACCCGTTAGGATTTTATACCTTGGGGGGGGACGGAAGGTTTCGTTCATTCGGCGGGCAAAGTCCCAACCTGACAAGGCCCCCTCCCCGCGTCAAGGAACCCCCCCCCCTTTGAGGGGTCCTACCATACACCCACCCTTCTCACTAAGTCAGAAATTTCCGTGACTAAGACATCAAACAAAGATTTTAAACTATTTGGGGTTCGTCTTTATAATATTTTAATTTTTGGGTTGTGGTATGTATAAGTTTAAGGAAAATAAATTTTTCTAATAAAAGCATTATATAATCAAGCCTAAACCCGTCAAAAATAACAAATTTTACCTAACCCAGCCTACCCGACTAATTAAAAATACCTTTTAAAAAAGCAAAAATTAAAATTTATTAAAACAATTGCAAGAAACCCTTTTCTAGAAAAGTTATTTGGTCAGATTTTTTCAATAAATAAATATATATTTTTATTATAAATTAAAAATATTTAATATATATAAATTATATATATATATTTTTTAAAAAAAATATATTATAAAATTTTTTAAAAAATATTATATAAAATTTAAAATATATAATATTTATAATTTTTAAATTTTATAAAATTTTAATATAATAAAAATTTAAATATATTATATATATTTTATATATATATATCAATTAAATTTTATAATTATATATATATATTATTATATATAATTTATAAATTTTTAAATATTTATATATTATTAAAATTTTTATAATATATAATTTATATATATAATTTTTATTATATATAAATATATTATATAATTTTAATTTTTAATAATTTATATAAATATATATTATATAATATAATATTTATATATAAATAATATTTTATTTATATATATATTATATAATATATATTATATATATATATATAAAATAATAATTTATTATTTTTTATAAATTTTTATATTATTAATTTAAAATTTTATAAAATATTATATATAATATTTTTTAATAATTTATTAAATAATTTTTTATTGCTGTTTAAAGAAAATGAATAAATTTTAGAAACCGTTAATTCTGTTTAAGACAAAAAAAAACCGAATTTTCCCTTTCCGTTACATTTTTTCCACAAAATATAATTTTTTTTTTTATAATATATAATATATTATATATATAAAAAAAAATAAAAAATAAAAATATAATATATTATAAAAGGGGAAGAAGGGAGGAAAAAATTAAAAGTTTTTATCCTGGCCAAAAACCCCACTGGCGGCTTTCAGCCTTTTTTCCCCCCGGCCCCCAAAAACCCCTAAACTGGGCACCCCTTAAAGCCAAATTTTTTCGCCCGGACGAGTACTAACATTTAAGATTTTTTCCCCAGGAAAAATTGAAAAATTTGGCATTATTTATCAGGAATTTTTTGAAGAAAGTTTCCCCCCCCGGGGGATCAGTTTTCAAAAAGGAAGGTTAAAAAGGAGTTTGAGAATCACCCCGCCGAGTGCTGTTTGATCGTTTGAGAAAGCCAAGGGCCTTAAAAGGGCTTGTAAAGGCAGGGGGAAGGGAAAACTAATAACCCTACTTTTTAATGGGCTTCTCCCCAAAAAATTTTAAAAATTTTTAAAATTCAAAATTTGAATAAACCCAAGTTTTTTGTTTACTAAAAATCGGGTTTTTATACCAAAAATTTTTTTTATTTTTAAATACCCCCCACGATGGGAGGGTGACTACCCAGAGTGGGGGGTTTGGGGATACCCCCAGGGGTGGATTGGGTGAACCCCCAGGGATGGATGGGGTGGGCTACCGCCCCAAGGAGGGAGGGGTAAATACCCCCCAGTGGAAGGGATGGGGTGCTACCCCCCCAAAGGGTGGTATGGGGTGACTACCCCCCAGGGATGGTATGGGGGACACCGCCCATGGGTGGGGATAGGGGACACCGCCAAGGGGGGTATGGGTGACTACCCCCAGTGGATAGGTAGGGGGACTACCGCCCATGATGGGGATGGGGAAATACCCCAAAATGGGATGGGGGGTACCCCCCGTGGATAGGTATGGGTGACTACCCCCCAAGGGTGGTATTGGGGGGACTACCGCCCCCGGGGTGGTATAGGGGATACCGCCCAAGGTGGTTTGGGGGACTACGCCCATGGATGGTATGGGGGCAAAACCCCCCAGATGGGTATGGGGGGACTACCCCCACAGGATGGGTAGGGGTGAACCCCAAGGATGGTTGGGGTGAAATACCCCCACAGATGGGTATGGGTGATACCCCCCAGGATGGGTATGGGTGACACCCAAGGTGGGTATGGGTGATATTTTCCCAAATTTTTGCATCCACAAAGGGAGGGTCCCAAGGATTTTACCCCCGCCCCAGGGGAAAGGGTTTTTCTAATTTTTTATTTTTATCACCTCCATTCCCCCAAAAAGGGGGGGAAAGAAAATTTCCACCATATTTTTCCAATGTTTGCCAAGGGGGGTTTTTACAGTTTTAAATAAAATTTTTTCCCCCCTTTTTGGGGGAATAAAATATTTGAAAAAATGTTTGGGGTTGTAGTATTTTCAAAATTTTTTTACCCCATTGATATTTTGAAAAAAATTAATTTTTTTCGTAAAAAACCTTTGTTTAATGCTTTTTTTTGTTTCAATTATTTAAGAACCCATTTTTTTTGAAAAAGTGGTTGAAAACAATCAACCCCAAAAAAACTTTAATCAAAACCAAAATTTTTACAAAAATTTTTTAAAAAAAAAATTTTTTTTTTTGGAAATTTAAGTTTTTTCAATTTTTCAAAAAAAAAAATACTTTCATTTTTTAATTAAAATTTCATCTTTCCACGTGGGGTTTTTTTTTCTTGAAATTTTTTAAAACCTATTAACTGTAAATTTTACTTGCGCGGGGGTTTTGGAAGATTCCCCCTTTTTTGCAGTTTTTTTTGGTTCCTGAAGGGGTTTTCAGGCCCCAATTTTACTGGGGGCCCGGTTTTATGTCTGGTTCATTTATTTTTATTTTCCCTTGGTTTTGCGTTTGACCATGGCCGTGGGGCCAAACCCCCCAAAAATTTCCACCAAGGGGTCATGACATTTTTTATTTTGTATTTGTTCCCCGGGTTTAGATTGGACCCCACCTGGGAACACCCCAAATTTGGTAAAATTTCCAAACCATGGCCCCAAAACTTTTTGGGTATTTTATACAAATTTTTGGGGTTCATCCAAATATTTGAATACTTCCCCAGAAGGGGGGAAAATTTCAAATAAGTAACCCTTTTTCTTTTTAGCCTTCTTTTGTTTACCTGGATTTGCGGCCTCATTAGAATAGCAACTCTTATTCTATTCATCCATGAATATTCTGATGTAGCGTTACATGCAAAGAAGATGTGTAAATACGCAGGTTACAAGAAGGCAAGTGAGCTTTTCTCTGTAGCCTTCTGCTTTCTGTGGGTCTTGACCCGCTGTTGTGTCTTACCCTGGATGGCACTCAGCATTTTCCTTGACGCAGGACGCTGGATAAAGATGCCAGCCTTATTTTTGTATCAGTTTTTGTTCCTGAGTTTGCTGAGTCTGACCTTCATATGGACGTTGTTATTGATAAGGTCAGTGGTGAGGAAGGTGAGAAGCAACATGCTTCACATCCTGTAATCGTCAACACATCATAGTGTGTGTGTGTGTGTGTTTTGTGTGTGTGTGTGTGTGTGTGTGTGTGTGTGTGTGTGTGTGTGTGTGTGTGTGTGTGTGTGGTGTGTGTTTTGAGTGTGTGTGTGTGTGTGTGTGTGTGTGTGTGGGTGTGTGTGTGTGTTGAGTTTGTGTGTGTGTGTGACTCAACAATCAATATTTGCACCAATAACTCATTACAGTTGTGACCGGGTGTGGAAGTGTGAATTGCTCATTACTCTATAATTTGTTCATGATTGTAGCCATGTATAAACGTAACCATTCTTACAGGATTCATTACCTTTGTAACTTGTGAGTTCATTACATTTGTACCTAGTTCAGCTATCAAAACTTTAGGGGCCAGTCTCTGGACCCTTTATGTACCTCTGTAATCTGTAAATACCTTTGTAACTTGTCATGATTGTGACCAGACCTACCTGGAGTTCATTACCTTTGTAAATTGTGTGTTCATTACCTTTGTAAATTGTGAGTTCATTGATTTGTAATTGTGAGTTCATTACCTCTGTAACTTGCTCAGCTATCAGAACTTTGGAGTCCAGTCCCTGGACCAATTATGTACCTCTGTAATCTTTTGACTACCGCCCACAGGATGGGTATGGGGTGACTACCGCCCACAGGATGGGTATGGGGTGACTACCGCCCACAGGATGGGTATGGGGTGACTACCGCCCACAGGATGGGTATGGGGTGCATAATAAACATTAAACTAAACTAACTTTCAGAGTTCACCTCAAACACTCACATTCAAATCAAATCAAAGTTTATTCTCTATAAGGATTACAATGCGGGGTTTACAGATTTTTTTATCACTGATGTTTTATTTGGTAGTACAGCAAGTTTACTGTTTGTGACAGTAACATGCAATATGAAAGAACACTTACAGGTGTTTAGAAAACCTTTTCAGAGATTTTTTTTCCTTTTTTTTATATTTGTTTTCCTACCCATTTCCCAAATATAAATAAAATCTTCACATGTTTGCATCTCCACAATTGTGTTCTGTTAAATATTTCATAAAGTAGGGATTCATGAATGTTCCTCTACTGTTCAATGCATAAATGAAACCTTAAATTTATATTGCCTCTGAATCCTTGCCTTCATATTTATGATGACACTGAAAATGTATACTGAAACTCTTTAATTAAACAGCTGTGGCAAGCAACAACACTATCAAAGTTTGGAGGAAAATTTCTCACTTCAGACACAAGAGAACACCCATCAAAAATGGAAGCAGGTTTTCCCATACATAATTATGGAAGTGATTATATATAAAAATCAAAACTATTTGCATATTTATAAAAGTATATGCATGTGGGTACAACAGATATCAATTTCTATATAAAAATAAAAAAAACATTAAGATTATAAACTATGAGGACAGATTTCAGAAGAGTGACGAATGGCAACATATCTCTTGCACTATATGGCAATTTTCTACATTAACCATGAGACAGTCATATCCAAGCATGTAAGAACTAAACCAACTTAACGTGATTGCATTGATACGCCCTTCAAGTCTCTAGTGTTAAAAATCAAGAAAATTTATTCTACAGAAAACAGTTATGCAACGACTATACAGTAGAGTGGTGTATCTTGGACTATTCCTCACCCTTGATTGTGTTGTATAGGGAGTGGGGAGGGGGGGGGGGTTTGACAGCATTTCAGTATTCACGATGTTTCGAGTACACATACAGAACACCTAATATATTATGTATGCCCTCAATGCTACACAATCTTCTGACCAAGACAAGCAAGCAAAGGTGAGAATCAGAAATAGGGTGACAAGAGGCACGATAGCATCAACTGAGCATCTCAATAGCACTAGTAGTATCAGCTGGAAGTGGCAATTTCATTCATTATGTGCCTCTTTATTCACAAAGTAGTAGTCTCTAATCTCCTTAAACCTCACAAGAACAGCTTGCTGGGTTTCAGTCTTTTTAATTAACTTGTATATCAGGTTATAAACGATAAAGCTTTTAGCAATTTAACAAAGTCCACATACTATCAGGATTAATTACAATATGGTATATTCCCAGCATAAAACATATTGTGAAGGAAGGGAGTAGTGCACAGTTGGCTACAACACTAGGTTGGTTCTCCACCGGGATCACTCTTCGCATACTGACGAGAATACGCAGATGTCGAAGTTGGTGCAGATGCTGCAACGCACCAGTGGTTCGATGTAGCACACAAACAGAGATGCACACAGGATATCACACGTGACTAACATTCTTACTGGGTCTTTTCTTTATTTCCAATCGGAAGAGCAGCCTTTACCTTCGACATGACATCGTTCACCTGGTTGCGAACAAGGCCCACATACTGATCAATCTGAGCCTGGTTTTGTTCGTACACCTTGAGGAGAGTAAAGAGTGCTACCACAGCCAGGGTTACCAAGGTCAGTCCGTTGAACCAAGACCCAACGTATGTCAGACACCAAAGCAAGCAACCAAATTTGACAGTCAACAAGATCTTCCACAAGGAAAAGTCGTTTGATTTCAGAAAAGACAGGGTTGAACCAATTCACAAAGGCATCACTGAAATCACGTGCCTTTTCTTGAGGTAGGTCAGTATCCAATTCCAGGAGGCTCTTGAAAGGGTGTCCATCTTGAGGCTTCTGAATTGCCTGCATAATATTTTTGTAAACTCTATAGATAATGGTTACAGTAAGGACGATCAGCGAAGTGTAGGACACTACAAAAATTAAGGATACATAGGCCAGAGATATAAGGAGCGCAAGGAATGCTCCAAAAACTACAGCAGTCTTCTTCAAATCACGCCAGTAGATCAGGTCAACCAAAGGGTTTATAATACAGCGCAGGTCGATTGCCCCCGAGCTAGAGGCGTCCGCTGGAGAGGTGTCCCACTCAACGTTAGAGCCGTCGTTGGCTTGAACTCCTGTTACAACCGATTCAGACTCCATTTTGTCAAATATATCCAGGGTAAATGAGCGCACGAAAGGAAAGGAGACACTCACACAGAGAGCGAGCACAACACTCCGTCGCCAGCGCCCGTTGAGCGACCAGTGTGTGACAATGTCTGACGGTCAACCCGATTTTGGTTATTGTGTGGTTTACATGTAATAAAATACTAATTACAGAGGGGGCCACTAGAACACCTAGCATGGCTAGGCGTTTCGGGCGAACTTAGATTAATTCTTAACCCTAAATTATTACAAATCGTGGAGTAAGTTGACTAAATACTAAGTGACTAAATACTAGTTTGTGAGTTTAGCAATGTGTATGCTTTTGTTTTGGCATAATACATAGTTTCTATATTGGAGTATCACATGCAAACTTATGACTAGTTAGGAATCATTATTTTAAGATTAAGATACGTATTTCTGTGCTTATAGTCAAATGGGTGAGTGAGTGAGTGAGTGTAAGTGTGAACCACCAGGTGGTTTTCATGTAGTTAGTTGACGGGGTGTATGAGGGAGATAAGATGTTTTCTAACGGTAGTTTTGAAGGTGATGAATGTGTCAGCAGTTCTAGAGTTTTCAGGTAGGGTGTTCCAGATTTTAGGGCCTTTGACATACACTGAATTTTTGTAAAGGTTTAGTCGGACACGGGAATGTCGTAGAGATGTTTGTGTCTGGTGTTATGCCTATGGGTCCTGTCACAACTATCAAGAAAGCGTTTTAGGTCAAGATTAATATTGGAATTTAAGGTCCTGTAGATTGCACAGTAGTAAGTGTGGATGTTCTGAACAGGGCGTAAGTTTAGATCTATGAAGCGTGGGGGTGTGTTGCCAGGGATGGGATTTAATGATTATTCTCACTGCGGCTTTTCGTTGGGTTATTATTGGCTTTAGGTGTGTTGCTGCAGTTGATCCCCAAGCACAAATAGCATAGGTGAGGTATGGATAAATGAGTGAATGGTATAGTGTGAGAAGGGCAGTTTGCGGCACGTAGTGTCGTATCTTGGAAAAGATCCCAACTGTTTTGGATATTTTTTTTTTTGTTATGTACTGGATATGGGTGCTGAAATTCAGGTTGTTGTCAAGGTATAGGCCAAGGAATTTGCCCTCATTATGTCTGGCAATTAGAGTGTTGTCGATCTTAATGTTAAGTTGCGCAACACCTGCTCTGCTACCAAACATAATATAGTAGCTTTTGTCAGTGTTAAGTGTAAGTTTATTGGCTGTCATCCAAGTTGATATTTTGAGCATCTCTTTAACAATGGTGTTGAGGGTGGCAAGATTAGGGTGAGAGATGACCTAACTCGTGTTGTCAGCAAAGAGAATGGGTTTCAGGTATTGGGGTACGTTTGGAAGATCATTGATGTAAATAAGGAAGAGCAGGGGTCCAAGGACACTTCCCTGCGGAACTCCAGTATCAAGTGGCCGTGTTGATGATGCTGTGTCTTTAATGGTGACATACTGAATACCGGCGAATATAAAAAAAAAAAAACTGATACCTATTAGTAAGGTAGGATTTGAAATATGCAAGCGCATGGCCTCTTATACCATAATGGTCAAGTTTGTGGAGTAGGATGTCGTGGTCTACTGTGTCAAAAGCTTTTCTTATCCACACATGTTAGTGTTATGTGGGTCTTGATTAGGCCATCACAGGGCTGCTGGGAACCTCAGGTAGAAGCAAAAATTGAGGACAAGGTTCCTGTTCCCGCTTGCCGCTGCCGCGTCTATAATAATATAAGTAATATAAATATTACATGACAAATGTAACACAATAATAGTTTAATATGTTTATTATGCACCCCATACCCATCCTGTGGGTGGTAGTCAAAAGATTACAGAGGTACATAATTGGTCCAGGGACTGGACTCCAAAGTTTTGATAGCTGAGCAAGTTACAGAGGTAATGAACTCACAATTTACAAAGCTAATGAACTCACAATTTACAAAGCTAATGAACTCACAATTTACAAAGGTAATGAACTCACAATTTACAAAGGTAATGAACTCCAGGTAGGTCTGGTCACAATCGTGACAAGTTACAAAGGTATTTACAGATTACAGAGGTACGTAATGGGTCCAGGGACTGGGCCCCCAAAGTTTTGATAGCTGAACTAGGTACAAAGGTAATGAGCTCACAGGTTACAAAGGTAATGAATTCTGTAGAATGGTTACTTACGTTTATACATGGCTACAATCATGAACAAATTATAGAGTAATGAGCAATTCACACTTCCACACCCAGTCACAACTGTAGTGAGTTATTGGTGCAAATATTGATTGTTGAGTCACACACACACACACACACACACACACACACACACACACACACACACACACACACACACACACACACACACACTAGACAAAGTAGTTTTTTTTTTTTTTTAGTAGGGAGTATAGTTATAAATTTTCTTAACTAGAAATTTACCGACATGGTATATAAACATGTATTTATTTTGAATATGGCGCAGATTATTATATTTATTACGTATATGTTTAGGGGCTCTGAAAATTTTTCACTGAGCGTGAAATATTATTATTGTTTTCTTTATAAGGAATCTCTATTATAATAAATGCAAACATGTTAAATAAAAAGCCTTCTCTTTGCCAGATATATGTTTTTTTTTTAAATAACCAAAATTAGAGATAAATTAGACATTACACACACACACATCAGCAAAGCTGGACCTCACATTCACCTTGAGTAGTTCAGATATTGGGGACATCACATATGAAAGTCCCCTCGAAGCTAGTGATCACGTGGTCCTGAGCTTCGAATACATTGTAGTGCTAAAAGTAGAGAGGGAAGCAGCATGAGTAGGATGAGATAAGCCAAACTATAAAAGAGGGTAGTACACAGGTATGAGAAACTTCCTGCATGAGGTACAAGTAACCATTCTTACAGGATTCATTACCTTTGTAACTTGTGAGTTCATTACCTTTGTACCTAGTTCAGCTATCAAAACTTTGGGGGCCCAGTCCCTGGACCCATTACGTACCTCTGTAATCTGTAAATACCTTTGTAACTTGTCATGATTGTGACCTACCTGGAGTTCATTACCTTTGTAAACTGTGAGTTCATAACCTTTGTAAATTGTGAGTTCATTACATTTGTAATTGTGAGTTCATTACCTCTGTAACTTACTCAGCTATCAAAACTTTGGAGTCTAGTCCCAGGACCTATTATGTACCTCTGTAATCTTTTGACTACCGCCCATAGGATGGGTATGGGATGCATAATAAACATTAAACTAAAAAACTGAGGTACAGTGGGGGAGAGGAATGGTAGGAAAAAACAGTGAATGAAATGATTGAATACGTGACCACCCAATGCCAAGAGGCGGAGGAGAGGTTCGTACCTAAGGGCAACAGAACCAACGGGAAGACCAGAACGAGCCCTTTGTTCATCCAAAGGTGCAGAGAGGCCATAACTAAGTGCACTAGAGAATGGAAAAAGTATAGAAGACAATGAACCCAGGAAAATATGAAGATTAGCCGAAGAGCCATAAATGAATGTGCATGGATAAGGAGGGAGGCCCAGCGGCAATACGAGAATGATATAGCATCGAGATCCAGATCTGACCCAAAGCTGTTGTACAGCCACATCAGGAGGAAAACAACAACAGTCAAAGACCTGGTAATCAGGTTGAGGAAGGACGGAGAGGGGGATCACATGAAACGACAAAGTATGTGAAGAGCTAAACACAAAATTTAAGAATTTAAAGAGGTATTCTCAGTGGAGACAGACTGGATTACAGTAAACCGGAATTGGAGGGTACACCAACAAGTGCTGGACATGGACAAGCTTATGAGGAAAGGACTGGTGGAGCACCTAGAAAGGAATGAACTCATACACGATAATTTTAGTTAGTTTAATATGTTTATTATGCACCCCATACCCATCCTGTGGGCGGTAGTCAAAAGATTACAAAGGTACATAATGGGTCCAGGGACTGGACCCCAAAGTTATGATAGCTGAACTAGTTACAAAGGTACTGAACTCCAGGTAGATCTGGTCACAATCATGGCAAGTTACATAAGAACATAAGAAGAAGAACATAAGAACGAAGGAACACTGCAGAAGGCCTACTGGCCCATGCGAGGCAGGTCCAAGTCTCCTACCGGCTTAAGCCAATGCACCCAACCTAGACAGGTCAGGTCACATTGACTTAAGGGAGGAACACGGCAACCGACCTGTTAGCACAAGCTATCAGGTCTAACTCACACCCACCCACATCTACTCATGTATTTATCCAACCTATTTTTAAAGCTACACAACGTTCTGGCCTCTATAACGGTACTTGGGAGTTTGTTCCACTCATCCACAACTCTATTACCAAACCAGTACTTTCCTATATCCTTCCTGAATCTGAATTTTCCAACTTAAAACCATTGCTGCGAGTCCTGTCTAGGCTAGATATTTTCAGCACACTATTTACATCCCCTTTATTATATTCTGTCTTCCACTTATACACCTCAATCATATCCCCCCTAATTCTACGTCTTTCTAGAGAGTGCAGTTTCAGGGCCCTTAGTCTATCCTCATAGGGAAGGTTTCTGATACATGGGATCATCTTTGTCATCCTCCTTTGTACATTTTCCAGAGAATTTATATCCATTCTGTAATACGGTGACCAAAACTGTGCAGCATAATCTAAATGAGGCCTAACCAAGGATGTATAGAGTTGAAGAACAACCTGAGGACTCCTATTATTTATGCTTCTTGATATGAAGCCAAGGATTCTATTAGCTTTATTGCGAACACTTATGCACTGTTGTCTTGGTTTCAGATTACTGCTAACCAGAACTCCTAAATCTTTTTCGCAATCCCTAATATTAAGATCTACATTATTTAGTTTATATGTGGCATGGTTATTGTCCTGTCCAACATTTAGAACTTTGCATTTGTCTATATTAAACTGCATCTGCCACTTCTCGACACTGCATCAGTCTATTCAAATCTTCCTGAGATGCTCGAATGTCCTCGACAAATGAAGTCGAGGGCTATTTTGGTGTCAACAGCAAACTTGCGAGTGCCTAGCCCCTTTGTTTTATAGATGTGAAGAGGCATAGACTAACACACCAGAATGGAAAAAGTGAGACAATTACCCAGAAATATGGATCCATTTACCGCAAAGTCCAGAATGCTATTGTCATACATGGAGGTATCCAGGAAAGAATGACTCATCCATTGCTTAATTGATCTATATCCCAGATGTGTGGTCCTGTCACAAGCTAGAAGCATAACAGCAAATATCATGTAATCAGGTGAGGAAGCATCTAGGGGAATACATGTTAAACATTAGTAGCGAGAAGCAACCGTAAAATTAGATTTAATCGTGTATTCATGTGATTTTCAGGTGGTATGAAGTACTCGGAATATTGATGTCCATAAATTCCCAGTCTGGAATGGCATGTTTTATAGTTCGAAGGTAAGACCTTAGTATTGAATAAGTATCACATTTATTTTTAGTTTCACTATCTTTATTATGTCACCGAAGTATGTGGGGGGCAGTCAAAGATGTACAAAGGCTCCTTAATGGTCCTTAGGAACCTTGCTACAAGTTATATGGCTGATATGTTCAAAGGTAATTAATCAGGTTGCTCTGGACAATCACTGGCCAATTACAGTGGTAAGTTAATCAGCGTAATGATAGGCCTCATCTAGTACATGAACAAATTACAGTAATGAACCAATCGATAGAATCGACACACATCGTCACATGGTCATTGTAATGAGTTATTGGTGCAAATATTAAGTATTAAGTGGGTCATACACCCACAAATACTGCGCGGAATAGACAAGGTGGACAAAGACGGGATGTTCCAGAGAAGACACAGACACAAGAGGTCACAATTGGAAGTTGAAGACTCAGATGAATCAAAGGGATGTTAGGAAGTATTTCTTCAGTCATAGAGTAGTCAGGCCGTGGAATAGCCTAGAAAGTGACGTAGTGGAGCCAGGAACCATACATAGTTTTAAGGCGAGGTATGATAGAGCTCATGGGGCAGGGAGAGAGAGGACCTAGTAGCAATAAGCGAAGAGGCGGGGCCAGGAGCTGTGACTCGACCCCTGCAACCACAAATAGGTGAGTACACACACACACACCCCACACACACCACAACTATATATATATATATATATATAAATATATATATATTCAATTATAATATATATATATATATATTATATATATATATATCGTATTTGAGGCAAATCTGAATTGGTAGTCACAAATGATACTAGAGGATTTCTCAATACCTGTTGTGTACGTAGGGAATAACGACATTCAGGTTGATCGTCTGTCTGAGTATTAGAGGTAGAGGGTACAGGATCAGGAGGATTGCCAGAGTCTGTCACAGTCTCAATTGGAACATCATTATCATCACATACTAACTTCATATGATCTAAATGCGATTCTTTATACTGACCAGTACTAATTTCTCTAACCTTATACTTATTGCCAGTGATATGTTCAACTACTCGATAAGGACCAACAAACTTTTGATGAAGCTTAGGCATTGCAAACGTTTTGTTAAAGTTAGTCAGCATAACTCTCGAACCTACTTTGATTTTGGATGACTTTGCTCGAGTGTTAGCAACACTTGTAAATTCTGCTGTTGATTTATGAAGTGTTTCACGGATTCTTCTAAAGACGCTTTAAGCTAGGCTGGTACGAGTTGCTATGAAATCATCAGGGTTGTAATTTGGTTTCGGGTTAGAATAAAACAACTCATAAGGCAAACGTTTATCTACACCGTACAATGCATAATGTGGAGTGTCACCTATGGAAACATTGTAAGCAGAATTTATAGCACACTGCACATCAGGTATAACTTCAT